CTTTTTTACTTCTTTAATTGTGGTATCCAAACTTTTGAGATTCAAAACCTTATTATAAGGAAAATATAAAACGAGAAAGTAGGGGATTTTTCTTTTTTAAGCCACGAAAAATGAAAAGAACAAAGCTGAATCAGATGCCTTTGTCTTGGTGATTGATGGGGTGAATTGAATCTCTACACCTAGAATTGCCCTTAACAAGATTTCCATTGAATGGTTCTTATACTGAAACCTAAAGTCCCATGGTCCTGCCTACCTTACCTACGGAGCCTCAGTCCACTGTATTGGTCCCTCAAAGAAAAGTCGTAGAATTACGGGTTCTAAGAACTTTGCCGAATTGAGTGTCACATGGAAGCAGAAAAGCATTAAAAGTGACATCTTATGGAGGGTTCTGCTCACGTTGTATGGTTGATGTATGTTGAGTGTCTTGTCATGCTTTTTAGAAAACGTTCAGGGAACTTCGTTCTTAATGAATATGATGATAAGGACTAAGGAATATGCTTAAAAGAATAAGATGATATAATTTCATCTCTAGGTCACTGGCTGCATGTTCAGTATTTTTATTTTTATTTCTTTCTTTCTTCTTTGGTTAGGAAGAAACTAGATGTTACAACCAATATGTTTACATGAAAATTTAGCAAGATCAGGGTGGTTTTTCCCTTTTAATTTTATTGATAAGTTTAAATGTGTAACCATATGAATTTAAACAATTTGAAACCATATATAAAAGACTGGGGCATGCACCAATTGCTGCTAGGGGTTCTCAAGATTTGGTGGACATTTTTTGGAACCGAACCGGTATTATCAGTTTTTGGAAAATCGGTAATTGGAATCGAACCGAAATTAGTCTAATTCGATTAACCAATTCAATTAACTATCGGTTCGATTTGTCAGTTTTTTGGTTTTTTAATTTTTACAATATAAATTATAAAAACATATATAAATATATAATAAAAAATTATAAATAAATAAATAAATATTATATTTTAAATAATAAATAATATATATAAAATATATATATACATATATATATATATATACTGGTCGATTCAATTAATCATTGATTTTCTATATTAGTTAACCGAAACCAAATCGGTACCTTTAATTTTTTACTTCACATAAAAAATGTGATAAGTTGAGCATAATGGCAAGTGCATCTAATAAAACATGAAAGTACATCTTGTAAAACGTGAATCAATGAAAAAACAAGTTTTTAATGTGATTGGTTGAGAGTTAAATTTAACATGCACCCAATAGTAATGAATGGATCCTAGTTGAACTCTATATAAAATTCAAATTAAAAAAAAAAAAAAAATGATGTTTGAACTTTTTGTAAATAAAATAAATACGAGGATATTCGATTATGATGCCAGAAATACATAATTCGTGCCAAATACCCAGCCAAAAATGAGGATTACACAATGGAATGAAGCACCCCAAATGGGGAAAACTGTTCTCACGCTGGATTGGAATCTAAGCTAATCACCTTGCCATCTTTGACAGCAATCCACCGGTTTGGGCACGATGAGGGTGAGGGGGGCCCAGTTTCATGAGTCCATATGACACCAATCCACTGGACCCCACCTTGTATTGTTACATGTATCATTTGACACCATTCCACCAATAGGTTGGTGGGCAATACACCCCTTTTATGTGGGTCCCTTTTGTTAAATAATGGATCTATCAAGGTAATGATAAGGTGGGGCTCCCACAAATGAAGAAGGGAAGCTTTGAAGCTTTAAATTGGAATATCCCCTTTTCTGCTTTACATCAAACACCCACCTTGCATTGTCTTATGTCCCACCTCATGAAACTGACAATAGACAGCTTAAATGTCACGGTATTCTCGTGCCAATGCTTCATCAATTATTGAATTATTTCCCTTCACTACCCTTCTTTTCGGCCAAAAAAAATGGTTTTTTGTTTGGAGACAGTTTGGAAGGCAACTTACTTTTTTTTTTTCTTTTTCCTTTTTTTTTTTTTTAATATGGTTGACCACCGAGGCCAGACTCCGGACTCCAAAAGCTTTGGCGTTATCGTCCATTGCTCACTGCCACTGCCACAGGACACAGTACCAGTCCGGCCTTGGTCTGATCGCCACACGTGACCTGGGTTTCAGTGTACTACCAGTACACCTTTTTGTTGTCCTCCGGCCTGCCAACTGGCCTCTTGTCTTACGCTAATCACCATATCAACCTAGCCCGTCCAGTTTTGGTCCAGAACCAACCTCACCATGCAATAATCAGTAAGGGGCTTTTTGATAACAGCTGAATATGCTGAACTGAAAAAGCTTCTTATTTTGTCTTTAAGGTTCTGTTTGACAAGAATGTAAATAGAAATATGTATGGTTCATATATAACTCATACATACATATGGATTCTGATTGTATTTATATACCCAAATAGAGGTTGTTAGTTTCTTCGTGGCTGAAAGCCTGAAACTGAAGTTGGATAGACCACAGTATCTTTGAAATTTGTATTATTTAATTATTTGAACAGTTAAAAGACAAAAACAGTAAGTTATTCGATTAAGTTCAGATAGCAGCTTTTGGCTTTATGAGATGGGCTCCATCCGGACAGTTCATAAGCCATATTTGGTGAAGATCAAAGGAATCCAATAATGGATGTCTCTCAACCAGAACTGGGTTGTCTGCTGATGTTTCCTGGGAGGGCTGAGCTGTGAAGATTCAGCAATTTGGGCACTCCTGATTTCTCACCAAACATAGCTTCGGTCCATGTAGAACCCACCTTGAAAAACCTGAAATCATTATACTTCAGCCTTTCCAAAAGCTTTAACCCTCCCAAACTAAGCTTGGCATGAAGCCAAACCAAAATTCTTAAATTCTCTGAAATTATTGGCCCCCAAAGTCCGAACTCAAATCCTACGTTAACCCTCCATGTGCCACAGCATCTGTTTCTCATACTTTACGTCTCACTGAAATTATGCAAGAGGGTACTAGCTAGTCACAAGTCCAACTATGAAACCGTTTACTTAGAAAATAAATAAGTATATTATATATAGATATGGTTAGTGAGGTTTTGAGCTTTTATAATTCCTAAGAACCCACAGACCCACATCCAATGTTAAAACATATAATTAACGTACAATCCGGCTTCTTGGGACTTGAGAGAGGTGGACTAGATGTTAACTCAATTACCTAATCCTTTGTCATTTTCTCCCTCAATTCCCACACTTTTGAGCGGTGGTTTCTTTGAACTAAAAGAACATGTCTAATATTTAATATTATTTCCAAGATACCAGTTTTTGAAATATGTAATGACAAAAGTCCCCTTTGTCAAAATATCTTTATTTACAATCTAATTTCTAAAAATAAATACCCTTAATTTCAAAGAGTAGTTGTTATAGTTTTAGCAAAATTTTTAATGAACCCGGCCCAAAGTCCGAACTTGAAATAAGGATGCAACTGGGCAAGTTGGGTTGGGTCGAAGGTCAACCCAAGCCCAACCCTAAAGGTGAAAACCTTGGGCTTGGATTTGGTCCAACCCGAGGTTAATTCCAATTTTATCAATCCAGACCCCAACCAGAGGTTAATCCAATACAATTCAAGTTGAGCTTGGGTTTGGTCTGGACCGGGCCAATTGGGTTTGAAAAAATTTAAGAATATATTTTATACATTCTAAAAATAGAAATGATTGAAAATATGTATAAATTGCATTTAAAATATATGTATATGTGTATACTTGTATGTATGCAATTTTTTCAGATGAACGGAATCGAATTAAATTGGGTTGGGCTCAAGTCGAACTTAGGCTATTAAAACCTCAACCCAAGCCCAACTAAGTTTAAATCAGACCTGAGTTTTTTTTTTTTGACTAGGCTCAACCCACTACTCAAAAACTTAGGCACAACCAGTGCAAAAACTCGGATTGGATCAGGTTGAACTTGGGTTGCCCAAATTGCACCCCTTACTTTAAAAAGCAATGTAAAAAAATGCTAACTCAGGCCAAATCCCAATTGCACCCCAATTCCTAAATATTCAATCAAGCCCAAAGACATATAGAACATGAGAAACAAACTTAATTAATATTACAAATAGGAATTCTCATAAAATATTTCCTAAGAAGACGAGGAACAAATTCTCTTAGAAGTCGAAGAGAAAATGATAATCCTATCTTACTCAATACCAGGCAAGAGAGGGGCATTTTGGTCTCGATAATATAATGGCATTCTGTCAGCCAATATCCAATGGAAAGAAAGAGGTACGAATCAAGCAAAGATACGTCATACGTGAGAGACATCCTGCTCATTTTCATATATATAACCTAAAAAAAAAATAACTTGCAAATCTTGATTCTACCATCCTCAATTGGTTTTAGCCGTTGGATTGGGGCCTTGGACACTCACGATGGATGGGGCCGGCAGAAATTTCCAATATTCCACTTTTGCCCCCCTAGCGCTGACCTGACCGAATGAAAATAAATCACGTAGACCCCAAAAGAATGGTCTACGGTCTATCCTATTTACTGCACATGAGCACACGTGAAAGAGAAGAGAAAGTGGCACTCACTCCACTTTCAACGGTTCCACCCCTGTGACACTTACGGACTTCACTCCTGTGGGGACCACCTATCTGGTCTCCACTTGGACGGTCAAAGAGGAGGATCTCTGACAGGGACCAATCTGACGGCCGTGATTCATCTAATCACCTTTTGACTTTTTTACGGCACGGATGCTCTTAAATGCGGTCCACCTCGTTTATGTTGCAGGGTCTCACTCATATCTTAGTGAATTGAACAGGACAAAAGCTCAAAACGGCCGTTTCGCGTCTCTCGACTCTCCCTAGTATGAGGAGTGGGAGTATCCTTACTCCAGCATCCAAACAGGGCCGTGCACGGAACCTCCAGATGAACGGAACCTTCCTGGCCTGGTTCCTGCTGACTAAAAGACGAGATTTTCTTTTTTTTTTTTTAATTTCTAATTTTCAAAAAAAAGAAAAAAGAAAAAAAAAATTCTCACGCTTCGCTCATCACAAACTGGTCATTTTCGTCTGAGAGACTGAGAGCAGTGACAAAGAAACGGGAGTTGAGGAGAGGTCTTGATCAGATGATTGAGATCATTAAACCTCCGCATTACACCCCTTTAAATCCGTACCTTTCTCAGAGAAAAACAGTTATTTGGACCGTTAATCTCATAATTTTTCCGTTTACCGAGGCGCTTCCGTTGACGATCCTCTTAAATTCTCTCAGAACTCCTATATTTTACGTCCCTGGTTTGTTTGGTTTCAATGATTCAAGATTTCAAGTAAGAGCTAGCAGCCGCAGCAGCGACCCGCGACTCACCACTGGTCGTTGGCGTTGTTGAATCTACCGCCCTCTTTCTCTTCCCCATTTTTGATTTTTTTAATCTGAGGATTCGTCGCCAAGTGGGTTAGATTACCTTGCTCAGTTTCAGTATAAATAGCACCCTCATCAGCGTATCTCGCTACTTCTCAGAGAGGAATCCAGTATTGGATCTATTCTGGTTGGTCCTGTATATTTTTATCGTCTTAGATTAGATTAGCCCAGTAGGGTTTATCTTAGTCTATTCAGTCGACCATGGAAGGCGGAGCTGCAGCTAATTCCGATACCACTGCTGGTGGCGCCGCCGCTGCTACGGGGGGTGTCCAAATAAAACCCAGTCGGAGGCTGCCCGACTTCCTCCAGAGTGTTAATTTAAAATATGTAAAACTAGGGTATCATTACTTGATGAGTCATCTTTTAACTCTGTGTCTGATCCCTCTCATGGCGGTTATCATGGTGGAGGTTGGGCAAATGAATCCGGAGGACGTACGTCAGCTATGGCTCCACCTCCAGTATAATCTCGTTAGTGTTATTGTCTGCTCCGCCTTCCTAGTCTTCGGCTCCACCCTTTACATCATGACCCGCCCGCGTCCCGTCTACCTCGTTGATTACTCCTGTTACCGTCCGCCTTCTCGTCTCCAAGTCCGTTCTGACCAGTTCATGGAGCATTCCAGGCTCACCGGCGACTTCGACGATGCCTCGCTCGAGTTCCAGCGCAAGATCGTCGAGCGCTCCGGTCTCGGCGACGAGACTTACGTCCCTGAAGCGATGCATTATCTTCCCCCTCGTCCATCGATGGCCGCGGCTCGCGAGGAGGCCGAGCAGGTCATGTTTGGTGCTCTGGACAATCTGTTTGCCAACACCTCTGTCAAGCCCAAGGACATTGGGATTCTTGTTGTGAATTGCAGTCTCTTCAATCCCACCCCTTCTCTTTCCGCCATGATTGTTAACAAGTATAAGTTGAGGGGCAATATCAGAAGCTTCAATTTGGGTGGAATGGGCTGCAGCGCCGGAGTGATTGCCGTCGACCTTGCCAAGGACTTGCTCCAGGTCCACCGCAACACTTATGCTGTGGTCGTGAGCACTGAGAACATCACTCAGAACTGGTACTTCGGGAACAGGAAGTCAATGCTGATACCCAATTGCCTGTTCAGAGTGGGTGGCGCAGCCGTGCTGCTGTCGAACAAGTCTGCCGATAGGCGCCGGTCTAAGTACAAGCTTGTTCATGTCGTGAGGACTCACAAGGGGGCTGAGGATACGGCATTCCGTTGCGTCTACCAGGAGCAGGATGACGCCGGCAAAGTGGGCGTCTCCCTGTCCAAAGATCTCATGGCAATTGCTGGAGGAGCTCTGAAGACCAACATTACCACCCTCGGTCCTCTTGTCCTCCCAATTAGTGAGCAGCTTCTCTTCTTTGTAACTCTAGTGGCGAAGAAGCTGTTCAATGCAAAGGTGAAGCCATACATTCCGGACTTCAAGCTGGCTTTCGATCATTTCTGCATACATGCCGGAGGAAGGGCTGTGATTGATGAACTGGAGAAAAACCTACAGCTGATGCCAGTACATGTTGAGGCTTCTCGGATGTCCCTCCACCGTTTCGGCAATACATCGTCAAGCTCCATATGGTATGAGTTGGCCTACACAGAGGCCAAGGGGAGGATGCGCAAGGGCCACCGTGTGTGGCAGATTGCATTTGGAAGTGGTTTCAAGTGTAACAGTGCTGTCTGGGAAGCTCTTCGGCATGTAAAGCCTTCTCCCAAGGGTCCCTGGGAAGATTGCATTGATAGGTACCCTGTGCAGACAGTTTCTTAATCTCACCCACATTTCCATTAGACATCTTCTTCATTCAGACAGTAGTTAGCTATACCCCAACTAGCTCTGTCTATTTTACTTTATCATTTGATTCTGGTCATTTAATCCATATTGATGTTTTTCCTTTTTTTTTTCATTTTTCTTTTGTTAATGTGTGCTTCCAGTACTTCGCAATCATGTACTATTACTCTTTGGGAATTTATAAGTTGCACCCTTCTGTTGTAATTGAAGAATGAATCCTTAATGGCTT